AAAAGGATATTTGTATCTTTTCAAATGTCACTTAATGGCTGGTTAACGATAAATACTGGATTGACACGTTTTGAAAATTTGAGTACTGAATTATTACATTTTAAAGTTTCGAGACCAAAATAACAATAACCCAAAATATAGGGTACTAATTGGAAATTTCCCCTAAAAGAAATGATAACCCTCCTTTTTTTTCTTTGGTTTATTGGACGCCGGTTATATACTTAGGATGAGACTAAGATTAATCAGAATTGTTCAACCACCAGTCGAACTGGTGGATCGACCTGACCTTGGTGGTGCCTTTTCTAGTTCAACAACCGGGTTGAATTCAACAACAATGCACCGAATTTTATTACATGCATAAGCTGGTTGCGGTTGGAAAAGAAACTGGATATGGGAAATCCCAGAAGTCTCATTCAATTAACGTTCTCACCAATGAGATATTAAGATCTCATGGGTCAAAGATTGACCTGATCAAGTGATTAAAGTAAACAATCCCTTATTCCCATCTCTACACGTATCTTGATAGAGCACACGTGGCTCCCATCGCATGCAACAGAAGTTCGGACCCACCATTCATTTGAATTATCTTAAGAGACTTTTGTCTCCAGCTAATCCGCTCCCTGCACTGAAATCTCTCCTCTAGAACTTCTTTCCAACGTTGAGTTTCGCTTTTGACAATGGCAACGTCTATGAACAAGAGAAGGTAAACTGACAACAACTTCCCTCAACTACATCTCATCATCAAATTCTCTTTTGGTTCTTCCAACTCCACCAACATTTTCAACTTTCTGTTCCCCCTGAAACTATAAATAGCAATTTCTGGTTTGTGGTTCCTCATCCCATAAAGCTTCTTCATCTTCTATATATCTATTCGAGGTTATCTGCTCTTCATCAACTCTCCTTTAATTCCTATCTCCCTACAGTTCTCATGGCTGCTTCTAAGAATTGGTTCGCTCTATCTCTGATCATTGCGTTGGCAATGTCGAGCGTCAATTTGAGCGATGCAGCTCGTCAACTGTTGGATACAACCCCACCACCCAGGCCCACAGTTCCCACTATTCCATCTCTGCCTAAGCCCACATTACCTCCATTGCCAACATTGCCCAAGCCCACATTGCCACCACTGCCGATTACCCAATTGCCTCCTCTGCCTAAGCCCACATTGCCACCAATGCCCACCACCCAGTTGCCTCCTCTGCCAACAGTCCCAACCTTGCCAAATACCCAAATTCCTTCTTTGCCAAAGCCTACATTGCCACCACTCCCATCCATGCCTACAATCCCCACCGTTCCAAAGGTCACGTTGCCACCATTGCCAGCAACTCTACTTCCCACCATTCCGACCACCATCCCAACAATCCCTGCCCTCTCCCCACCACCTTCAACCACTAGCCCATGAGATGCTACTATGATTCATATATACTCTCAGTCATACTTTTGGGCATTTAAACATTTGTATAGAGGGTGATATAGCTGGATTCGGTTCATGCATTTTGGTTTTTGCTTGCTGCTGCCTGATCATGGAGGATCCCGGAGCTCATCCATCCATTAGTTTTTATTGTATCGGCACCTTCTGTGACTGCTTTTCTCAGTGTGGTGTGTTTTTCTTACGATACGTTTGGCTGTTAATTTTTTATTTCTATCATTGTACTGCTACTTCTCTATATATAGTATACATTCTATGAGTTATTTCATTATACATTAAAAGTGTCATGGAGGTATTAGTTCTAACAAAATGATGGTCGCATTAGCGGCAGAAATAATTTCCCATGCGACCCCGATGAAATGTTTTAAATCAAACACCAGTTTGTCATGGGGTTAATCGATCAGGCCTGGGTCGCTCAATTCCATTGAGTAAGGGATCGGATCCATTAGGCACAACATAGAAATCACATTCAGTGAGCAATTTATAAATATTTTAACAACTATTAAAAGTTGTCTTTAATCTTTTTTAAGGGTAAGTTGGGAGTATTTCAATGGACAGGTGTCAAACAATTTTGAAAGTATTCATTTAGCATGCCTATCTGAAAGTGTTCAAAACAAAGCAAAGAAAGGCAACAAGTTGGTGTGATGTTTTGTTTTTTTTATTTTCTTTCAAACACTGGTGTATTTACATTTTATTGAGGGATCTCCGGATGCAGTCGCAGGAAATACAATCTCGATTAGTAGACCAAACAAATTATGTTTAATGTGTCGTGAGGGGATTAAGCACAAATTTAATGAAGGGATATCTTCATATTTATATGTTTTTATTTATAGAGAGATATTCCAAATGTACAGCTGTAAGGGACTGTGAGGATAATTTTGTGAGGATCAAATCCAAATTCTAGATAAAATATCGAGATATTCCCAATATACAGCTAGAAGGGGCTGTGAGGACCAAATCCGAATTTCAGGCAGACAGCCAAAATGATTCTACAGGTTGATCGTTTCTGTCAGGCCCCTGGGCCCGGGAAGCCTAATTGCTGTTACTACACTATAAAATACTAGTCGGAGCCCAGCCCATTATCAACCCTACTCTTACTCTACATGGTGTATGACTTGTTGGCTGTTGCCTCAGTGCCTCCACTCCAGGATTAGTGTAAAAAGGAAAAGAAAAAAAAAATCAAAATAAGAAGCCAATTGTTAACGCCTCAAATTACTATATTGCTTCTCCTTCTATCTATTGCCCTACATCTAGCCAACAGACAGGGATATCCCATCTCCCAAACACAAAACCCTCCCCAATCCGAGAGCAGATCTGTACCAACATGATCTATAACCGTACATACTATTTCGTACGGTAGAGAGAGGGAGAAATTAAAGATTTTGAAATTTGAGGTACAATATCTTTCGTGTATTGACTTATTCTAAACATTACCAAACGCCCTATAAATTAACCAGACAAATTATAAGTGGGTTGGGGTTGATTAATATGCTCTAGCCCTACCATAAAAGTTAAAAGAGAGCAGGGTACTCTTTTGATCAAATGGCCTGATCTTCTTTGCCCGTGAAATATAAACAATCACTTTGACTTTCACAAGGAGCAAAAGTTATAGACTGATAGGGGAGCTATTCTAGTTCAAATGCTCTCAATCAAATCAACAACATGGTTGAATATGAAATTCATATCTAAGCATCCATCTCAGTTTGATAATGGATCCCATACATTGTCGAGGTTGATGTGTGATACTGGAGCTAAATGATGGACCATTCTTATGGGGTACTTTGAACTAACAAGGAAAGTTTGGCAGATGGAAGAGACTAAACCTTTCCCCTATGTGTAGTTTTTGTGGATGCCAATTGTGTTGTCATTGTATGAAATATTTAGGTGTTGGGTCACATATATCTCTCTATTAAATTTCTACTATGACAATCCGAACCATGAAAATGATTTTTATATGGTCATCCAAACAACTTGTTTTATTTCACATGTTTTAGAAATAATATGGCCAGTTTGGACCGGCCATATTGTATGGGACGCTCTATGTTAATCATACTTATTTTTTATCTGAAAGGTTGAACTCTTGACCTACCACCAAACAGGAAAACAATTTCACTTTTAGGTTAATTTTAAATTTTGTACTCCATTTTCATTATAAAAAAATAATTCTTGTTAATCACACTTATTTTTTTTAATATGACTAAAAAATATTAGAGATGTGCTTAGATGTTTTCTATAAAATATCTATATTTTTTCATAATTTTATTTATATTTTTATTTTTTAAATTTTATTATGTAATTATGACATCAAGGGTTGACACGTTTCACCCAATAAGTTAAACTATTAATCATCACCAAATAGGAAAATAATTTCATTTTTTGGTCAATTTTAAATTCTACATTTCATTTCTATCACCAATAAAAACAATTCTTGTTTATCACATTTATTTTTTTTAATATGATTAATATAAAATTATTTTTCTACTATTTTTTCTTATCAAAGAATATTAGTGATTTTTGTATGTTTTTATCTTTTTTTAATTTTTATTTATTAAATTTTGACATTAAGGGTTGGTACATTTGGCTCAAAAGGTTGAACTGTTGACTTGTCATCAAATAGGAAAAGAATTTCATTTTTTATTTGGCTTTAAATTTTGTATTTCATTTCCATCATCAATAAAAATAGTCATTGCTTATAACACTTATTTTTCTTTAATATGGTTAAAAATAAAATATTAGAGATGTACCCATTTTTTTCTATAATTTTTTTTTTATCTTTTGTATATATTTTTAAGTTTTATTATTTAATTATGACATCATAAGTTCACCCACTTGAACTGGATTGTTGATTTGCTTATCTACCACAGAGATAACAATTTGTTTGTAAAAAAAAATATGGGTTTTATATTGCTAAAAGTATTGAATATAGAACTAAGTAGAACTTATCGGTGAGAAAAATAGTTTAAATATAAGACTCAAGAGCTAATACCATAAATATAAAACTTAATGAGAGAGGAATTGAATGTGGAAAGTAGTAGTTCAAATTTTTTGCACTCACAATTAGATAAGAACTAGATTCAAATATAGGGGTATAATAGTTAAAAATAGGATTCAATGAAAGATAAAAAGAGTTAATAACTTAAATGTAAGACTTAATGATGGTAAATTTAATGAAATTTTATATTTTTTGCCCTCCATTAAAAATGGACCAAATTAAAAAATAAGGCTACTTTGGTAAACTAAAATTAATAGATATAAGCATAGATTATTGAATTGAAAAGGAAGAAACCAAAATTCGACATTTCCAGCCATAGAAGAAATTAAACACCACGTAAAGGTAACTTACAATTCATAGGCTACAAAACCCTAAACCCAAGAAGAACATTGATAAGGAAGGACGGTCTTCAATCTTTCTAAGAAACAATCTTTCCATTCTAGCTAGCTTGTTCCATTAGTAGTAGCTAAGAAAAAACCTGCCTTTCAAGTTAAGAAAGATAAGTGGAAAAGCAAGCTGCTTCACCCATTACACCCCCATCATAACTCAGCAATATTCAGTAATTCATCTTAAACCATGACCATGGCGTCCACCGTTCCATTCTTCTTCTTCCTCGTCATCTTTATCTTCTGTGCTTTCTGCAATGCCTCGACCCAGTTCAAATTCCCTGCGCTTCTTGCATTTGGTGATTCGACAGTGGACACAGGCAATAACAACTTCATCAAAACGTTGGTTAAGAGTAATCACTATCCCTACGGCCGAGAATTCCCTGATCAGGTATCCACTGGGAGGTTTTCTGATGGAAGACTGGTCCCAGATTTACTAGACTCTGCGCTGGGAATCAAGGAGTTTCTTCCTGCTTTCCTGGACCCACGTCTACCAGACAGTGAACTCCTTACGGGTGTTTCGTTTGCATCCGCTGGATCAGGATATGATGATCTTACCGCAGCAGAATCGGAGGTCATTCCGGTGTCGAAGCAACCAAAATACTTCAAGGAGTACATCAAGAGGCTCAAAACAGTTGTAGGGGAGCAAGAATCGATGAAAATCGTTGGTGAAGCGTTGGTTCTCATTAGTGCAGGAACCAACGATTTCATTTTAAACTTCTATGATTTACCCACCAGGAAGCTTCAGTTTAACACTACTGGCTACCAAGATTTTCTGCAACAAAAGCTACAAGCCTTGGTTAAGGTCTCTCTCTTTCTCTCTCCCTCTCTTCTTTACGTGTTCAGTACCTCTATTCGTTTGAAGTTCATCAGTTTCATTGATTTGCAATAGTAAAAATGCGTGATGGTGCAAATGAGATCGAAGAATGCAAACAAACAAAATAGGGAGAAGCTGAAACGATAAGAAATCATATTTTGCACTGCAAAATCTAAACGATAAGAAATCTAAACAATGCAGTTAGAGCCCTCAGCCCATGTTTGCGCCATTACAAGTACTAATTGATCTTCCTTTTGATTGGGATTCGTTGCCATGTGACTGCGTAGGAGCTGTACGATCTGGGGTGTCGCAAATTCCTCATAGGTAGCCTTCCTCCAATAGGTTGCATACCACTCCAGATAACGTCCAGATTCAGTACAGACCCGATTGCGAGGAGATGCGTGGATGACCAGAATTGGGACTCTCGTGTTTACAATTCCAAGCTGGAGAAATTGAGTCAAGAATTACAGTCATCGCTTCAGGGCAGCAAAGTGGTCATGGCTGACATATATGAGCCACTGATGGATCTTGTTAGCAATCCACGAAAATACGGTAGGTCCAAATAAAATTGTAAAAGTAAAAGTAATTAAACTCTTTAGAGTTGGACTGGACTGGACTCTGGAGTAGTTCATATTTATTTCGACTACGTAATATTCAATTTCAATGAATAATGTGATGAAGCAAAGTGTTGTGGGTGGACGTTGCAGGTTTTGTGGAAACGAAAAGGGGGTGCTGCGGAACGGGTTTTTTAGAAATGGGACCACTTTGTAACGCGCTCACTCAACCATGTGAAAACGCTAGCCAGTACCTGTTCTGGGATGCCGTTCATCCAGGGGAGGTAGCAAGCGCATATATCACTCACTACATCCTAAAATATATCCTCCCCAAGCTGCTGTAGAAGGGCTGTATGTCCTTATTTGATTAGATTGGACTCTCTGCACATTAATTTATGTTTTATTGCTATTATTACACTATGCTACAGTAGTAGTGTAGCTTAAAAATAATAACACTGTTTTTTTGCTCTTTTGATTTTTTTGCTTTAAATGATAGATAGAAGTATTCATCGAGGGTGCGATTTTAGAGTTCGGATTTGCTTATCACAAAGCAATGTTTTTAAATCCGGACCGGAAAATAAAAAACTGGTTATTTGATTGGTTCCGTTTTAGCTTAGAACCGTTTTTTGGCCAAAAATCATTGATTTGGTCAGTGAATCATTGACCCAAGCGGTCAAACTGTCGATCAGTCAACTCGGACAACAGTTTTTAACCATTTTATTATTTTTTTTGTGAGAATGGAGCCTTTATTCGATTTGAACAGTTAGACCATTTGACCTGGGAACTGGACCCTAGAACGGTTCCATGTCTAGTTTAGTTTTAAAAACCTTGTCACAAAGTGCTACTCACACCGACCTCACATAACTTGGAACCTCACATTTGAAACTTCTCCATTCTTGTTAGTTATCAATTATCATATATGGGGAGATTGTTTGTGTATAACATGCTGTGAGGTTGGTGTGAGGCATGCTTTATAGGAAAAAAATCTGAACTCATGTTGAGTTTGGATCTATTCCTCACAGAGAGCACTCCACACATAACTTGGAGTTGTACATCTGAGGCCCTGTTTGGTTCATGTGAACAGGGGTCTGGAATCGGATCGGAATGGGCTATTCCAATTTCAACTGTTTGGTTGGATGGAATTGGAATTATTTTCCTCATTTGAGGGAATGGCCATTCCCTGTCTCCCTAACCCTCCCTTGGGAATAAAATCTCATTCCTGCTGATTTCAATTTCCATTTCCATTCCTATCTGAACTAAAAAGATTATGGGAATAGACCACTCTGATTTCAATTCCGAATTATTTTGATTCTGATTTTGATTCCGATTCTAACTGTAAACCAAACGGACCCTGAAATGTCTCGTTAATTGTAAGTTATCGTTCATGGGAAGCAAATCCGAATTAATGATTGGTTTGACTTTCATATAAAATAAGAGGAAACAGAAAGTTGAGTGAAATTCCTCACGAACCTTCCCTTAACTTTGTTTCTCTTTTGTTTTATATCAAACCAAACACCGCCTAAAGGGTGCAGCCCTGGTTTGGATCTCATAAATTGTCTTTAGGTAAGTGTCTTACTTGGGCCAAGTTGGTTTGAGCCTTAATTGACCAAGCCCATGTTATTGCCCATAACGATACTGATTTAGAAATCTTGGTAAGGCCCTGGGCTAAAATCATGGTTGAATTTTGAAATTGTTCCATTGAGTCTAGGCCCACCTCGATGGAATGCAACATACATTAACATTTGATATATAAATATTTATTTGAAGTAAAAGCTTGAGCCTCGCAAATTTATATGAGGCTTAAGCCCTTGTTAGAATGAGGTGAAGAGGTGAAAAAGGTGTAAGATTCAAGTATCAATAATTATTTATTGATATATTATGTATTTTCATAGTTTAAAACATATGAACAAATATTTTAATAATTATGGGCCAAATAAAAAAAGTAAAATTGAAAAATTAATATGGCAAATCAAGTTCTATCAGTTTTTCATAGTGTTTAAGAGAGTTCAATGCAAGAAGAGGAAAACTCAAGTGGGGTTTTTCCCTAGTTGTTCTAAATCTATCATCCCAAGTTTATTATTTTTCTCATTTCTTTAACTAATGAATTTGTTTTCTTTTTATTGATTTGTTTTGCATAGATCGAATCAATTAAATTGTTTCCTATCTTCTAAGTTGGCCATTTGAAGAATTTGAGAACTTTACATTTTGAAAAATGAAAGTGTAAATCGTTTATAATTATTAGATGATTCGTCATTATTTTATTTAATACTTAAAAGCTATAATTTATTTTTTATAAAATTCTACATATGAATATTTGTATTTTATATCATTCTAACTTGGTATATTATATATTATTTTTATTATTTATAAACTTTAATTATTTTTTTCTTAACTTTTGAGACTTACACCTCACAATTAGACATGTTCATGGGCCGGGCCGGGCCGGGCTCGAGCCGGGCTTTGACTCTTTATTAACAGAAAATTGTTAGGCCCGAGCCCGAGCCCGAGCCCGGCCCTAATAAAAAGTCCGAAGCTCGAGCCCGAGCCCGAAGCCCGACCTAATAAAAGAAATTCAAAATTTTCCGACATTTTCTATTTTGATTTAAATGTTTTTTTCCCCTATTTAAATGAACAATGGGTCTACAAGTGAATCAATGACCTCAAATCAAAAAATTTATTCAAATAGACATCACATAGGGTTTTTACTTAGGTTTAACTATAGGTCGGGCCAGGCCGGGCTCGAGCCGGGCTATTTTTGCAAAGCCCGAGCCCGGCTCGAATTTTATGCGGGTCGGGCTTTTTGACCCGAGGTTAAACCTGCGGGCCAAAAATCCTATTCAAGCCCATCCGGCCCGTCGAGCCACCCGGCCCATGAACCGGTCTACTCACAATACCTTGAGGCTTTATGCCTCACCTTTTTGAACCAGGAATTAGGCCTTTAAAGTTTACAGTTTTAAAACCTTGTATATATAGAAATATCATATTCATTTTTTTTTTCTTTCTGATTTTGATAAACCAACAGATCGGACAGTGACTATCATGTCCAAATAAAGATACATGAAGTGCCGGGTTCCAAGGGCCCAGGCCTACGACCTCAATTTATGGTGCCATAAGGCCCATAACAAGCTCATTTCATTTCCTAGTGGTCAATTATGCAATTGCAACCCTCCACTTCGGCAATGATACAATTCGTACTTAGGCCCACGTGACCAAGACGATGACTCCTCCTCGTGCCACTTTCCTTCCAACTGACCTCGCATTATCTCATTTATATCTCTCCATGTGACGAAAGGAACAAGGATTGTCCTGGTGAAGTAAATGGGTTTCTATTTTCATGTTTGGCTTGTTGGAAAAAAAGGTAAATTAGAAAACAAAATGTTGAAAAGAGATTTCAGTTTACGAAAGGGTCGTTAACCAATGTGGATGAAGAAGACAGGATACGTTCTCAAAGAACTTGATTAGCGTGACAATGTTTAATATTTTTAATTACAAAGCATAACATTAACACTATCATACCAAATTACCAATTGGGCTACTTTATATTTACATTCTATATATTTGTATTTATACTCCTTCCAAACTGAGCTTTAAACAAAATCAATAATGTATTTATTTACCGTATAACAAAAGACATGACTGATTAACGTGATAATAAATACATTTTGTTAAACATAAAAACTTTAGCATAATTAGTTAAGACTGGATTTAAAGTGCAATGACCATAGTTGAACTCTAATATTTATTTTGATATATGTATATGTGGTTTCATCATCTGAAAAATATAATTCAAGAAAAAAAAAGAATGTCAATTGTTAAAAACTTTAGACATAATTTTTCAAGGACATAGATACATTCATACAAACTTGGCTATAATCAGCCTTTGGAATAAGAAAAAAATATATATTGTTTCATGTATTTCAGTTGGTACCCCGTCCATGACAAGTCACCTCACCTGCTAGAATTTTATTATTGATATCCTTATAATGTGGATATAATAATTGAATTGGGACAGGATCAGATCCATTCCATTGACAGCCAGCTTTGTTGATACCGACTTTTCAGTTAGCCCCACGTGACTCTCACGTGTGTTAAACGTACAAGTGTCCCCAGCTATGTATGAATGACTCCTATTTACGACGATAAATTATCCTATAAACAGCAAGTAACGACAGAGATCGACTTCTATCGAGGCAAAATGTGTGCCCACACTGTTTTAAGAGGAACATTTCCGATGAAATAAATCACACAAGTACAAGATATTCTGAATGAAAGGCAGTAAAATTTGCTTGAACGGGCTTTGCCATGATTGAAGCCGAATTTATAACGATAGGTAACTAGTTCCATTTTACCCTAAAACTGTTTTTTGATAAAAAATTATTAATTTAGTTAATAATTCATTGATTCAGACAGTCGAACCATCAATTCAGATAATGGTTTTTGATTATTTTTATTTTTAAATTAAAACGGACCATCCGTTTAAACCGAAAAACAAACTGTTCAACTCAGGAACCGGTCCTAGAACGGTTCCGTGTCCGGTCCGCTTTTTAAAACCTTGCACGGGCCCTTGTTATTCTGAAACGACTGGCTTCTTTTTCACATAGAAACTGCAACGGTAGAACTCGTTTCTTGTGGGGCCGCTAATCAATAGCTCTTTATACTTCACTCGTCCTCTACCCAATCTCCCACCGACTTTTTCCTTCTCCCACCTTAATTCCTCTCCTCCTCTTCCTTTTCCCTCTCAATGGATCCATAAATCCTCTCTCTCTGTCTCTCTCTCTCACTTTACTTCCAGGCCCCTTCTTTACTTCTCCGGTTGACGGAGACGATGATCCCGCATGCGAAGAAATAATCAAACTGGGGTACTGGGTACCTGAGCAACAATCAATTCTGTGGATCTGGGTGGGTTAAAGAAATGGAGGTGCAGCGGTTGAAGCAGTTGATGCTGCTTTGGTCTGGAATGCGAACTACCCGTGTGGCTCTCGTGGGTGGAAACCATACCGCTGCCAGGTTTTGCACTCGCTAAGTTTCCCTTCACTCTCCTCTCGCTTGCATTTCCTCTCTGCTTAGTGCTTACTCAACCACACAACCAACTTACCAAAAACCCAACCTACCAGCAGCTGTCCTTCTTATCAAAGGGCAAAGTAATTATCCAAGAAACTTGAGACAGAAATGGAATTGGATTGTGGATTTCCAGCCAAAAACCAAACCAGGAGCAAACACCTTCACGGAGAAGGTGGGATCAGCCCGACTGCCGACAACCAGCTCGTGATTAAGCTCCCCGATCCGAGGGTTTTCAGGGTTATTGCTCGATCCTTGCTTTTAGCCTTGGTTATCATCACGTTTCCCTGGCTTGGAAAGTTGGTCATTGACGGACTTCCCCAATTTAATTCCTATATGACCGATTCTGAGGCCAATTTTGGCCCTGAACTCATCAATGCTGAGTTATTGACCATGTTGTTTCGGGATTTAACCAACGAAGGTGTTCTTAAATCCGAAGGCAAAGTACTCTTTGTAAGCCACGGCAGCGCCGGAGAGGTGATCGTTCACAATCCTCGGTTCTATAATGATAACAAGATATATCTCATCTCTGAATTCGATTCCGAACGCCAGAGCTCAGTTCCGGATGCAACATTCGATTTCACATTCGCTTCCAGCTTTGGCTCTGGTAAATATCTCGACCGCACGCTCAAGACCGGCGGCATTGCAGCTATCCAATTGAGCAACGACCCTTCGGATGCTTTCTGGAAGCCCTCAAATTACAAGATTGTCTACATCCGGCGATATGCATCCACAATTGTAGCAATGAAGAAAACTGGCCCGTCCGAACTACCATCCGGGAATTGGCCAAATAAGAGGCGCCTCTGCGCGTTCCCTTCAGAAGCCAAGAAGGCGGCATTGGATGGACTCGAGGATGTGCTCCTGGAACCACCGCGAAAAGCTCATGTGGAATCGGACAAGTACTTGAAGAGGACCAAATTCCTGCCGGACTTAACTGGGGACTCGCTCGAAGGGTACCCACGTCGCGTCTTCATCAATGTTGGCTTGCCGGAGAGAAACGGCGGCAGCCCTGATTGGTTTGAGAGGAATTACCCAACAAGAAATTGGGATTTCGAAATTTACAAGATAGAGACAGTGGCCACGGATGAACTGTCAACTGACACTGCTGTGCCCCAACTGGAGATGTCAGATTGGTTGAGGAAGAATGTGAAGGAAGAAGAGTACGTGGTGATGAAGGCAGAAGCAGAAGTGGTAGAGGAGTTGGTGAAGAATAAAGCCATGTGTTTGGTGGATGAACTGTTCTTGGAGTGCAAACACCGAGGACTAGGCGGGAGGAAGAACAAGAGCAAGAGGGTCTACTGGGAATGCTTGGCTCTCTATGGAAAGCTCAGGGATGAAGGAGTTGCCGTGCATCAATGGTGGGGCTGACAGGAGTTGCTGTTCATCAATCGTGGGCGAGAGAGGGTGAAAGAGAGAAGGGTAGTTGACAGGAAAATTTATTTTATGTTGTTTATGTGTGTGTCTGTGATTACTTTGTGCAAGTTAATGCAAGAATGGTGCTGTTAGTATATAAAGTATCCCGAGACAAAGAGAGTGATTAGCAGGGTTCTTTCTTTCGTGATGTTAGGTTAGGTTCCATCTCCTGTTAACTATGTTTTCTTATTGTTTGGTAACTAGAGAATGACTTGCACTGAGCTCGCATTCTGTGGACCCTCAGGTTCACGGGAATCGTGCACCTGCAAATGAAAAATGAGCGGTCACCTTATTAAGTTATTAGGAATTTAACGGAAAAGGCTGGTCCAACCAGCCACTAAAAGACAAAAAAGTGAAAAACGATAACTTCCTCCATTCGAATTCCCCTTTCATTGTCTTTCAGCATCAAATCACAGCAACCAAGTTGAGAGACCAATGATCAGTGACAGGCGGTAAAATCATCATCTTCTTCTCTTCTTGTCAGTTGTCACAGACGGAATGAAAGTGCAGGATATGTAGGTAGAAAAAGAAAGTTCAGAAAACAATGAAGAAGACGGCCAAAATCAATCAGAACACTCATTTTTGCATTGCCACCGATATATTAGCTGATTTCATGCATCGTGAGATCAATGTTTTCTGCTCTAGTATTCAGACTTTCAGGTAATCTTTTGCTACCAACTTTTGTGTGTTGGGATCAGATCGACTGTAATCCAAACTTCATGTAACTGTGCTATAGCCAATTGCTTCTTGGATTATTCTGTCCATAATTTCAAGTGTTTAAATGCTCTTGGAAAATCTACATATCCTTAGCGAGGATTGGGGAATTCTTTAAAGCTACTAGAAATGAGGCCTAACCGTGTAGTTTTGATTGTCCTTTTTTTTTTTCTTTTTTCTATTCAGGGAATAGAAGAAAGCAAGAAATGAAGGTAATTACGAACAACTGATTTTTTTTTAACTGTCCATGGATGGATTTTCTCTCCTAATACCTCAAATAGCAATTCGGCTTTATTCATGCTTTCCTTTTCTCCCCCTCAAATGTCAGAGCTCAGTCTACTTTAATGATCTTAATTTTGAAGGTTAGGCTTACTTTACTCCGACAATAACTGGTAACGGTTGATTCCTTGTTGTCGGATCAGACAGAGGGTGTTAGGGTTTTGGGACACGGCCTTTAGATTTCAGAGGATTGTTGTAGATAAAAATGAGAAAAAGAATAAGAAAGGGGAAGAAGAAGAAGAAGGTGGAGGAAAAAGCGAAGAAGAATTTATCGTGAGTCTCTGGTCGTTGGTTGATGCCTCACGCTAAACATCGATTGTTGTGGTGGCCAATGGTCTAGTTACAGTATCTTGAGACTGAGAGACAGTGGGAGGGGAGTTCGAATGAGGGAAGTATTATTGGGTTTTATTGTTTTTTGTCTTTTAGTGGCTGGTTCAACCAGTTAGACCATTATTAACCGAGCAGTCCCGTTAAACTCCTATTAACTTACTAAGACGACGTGTTCATTTTTCATTGGTAGGTGCACGCTTCCTGTGAACTGAAGGGTCCACATGATTCGTGCTCACTTACACTTATATATCATTTTGTGTTTTGAGGTTTACTATTTATATGATATATTTAATTCTAGTTTCTTATTTAAAAAAATTTAAATCATGTTTAATTTATAACTTACAACATATTTCATATAAAAGAATAGAACCCACACCATTGAGAGTTTTATGATGAATCTATTATTTAAATTCGAATGTAACCTATTAATATGAGTTCAACATCTACTTAATTTTTTTATAATTAGCTTTCACATGTCCTAAAAATTACTTTCATTTTTTTTTTCTGAAAATAGGTAAAGACATGTACGAAGAAAAAGGATTCAATTTGAGAATGGGAGTAATCCACTTCTTATATGCTATTTAAAAATAAATAAAAATAGAATGCCACTTGTATTAAAAATCTCCCTAGTTTGACATGGAAACTATTAGTTGTTTGTTATAAGTTCATTGGGAATTTGGGGAATTGGTAAACGTGTTCAGCCCAAAAATGCTCTCAACAGCATAGGCTTTTGGCCCCAAATAGCCAAAGTTAACTCAAATTTGGGATGATGTCTCATGCCGTTTACAAAAACAAGGGCTATTGGTAGTCATACAAAGAAAGAAGTAGCAGTTGTTTAGAGAATTTGAGAGATCCAACTATCCCATTATTGTATATATTGATTTTTTTTTTAATATTAAAGCCCTTATTCACTTAAGGCTGCAATCAAATTATCTTCTACCAAAAAAAAAATCAAATTATCTGAATTCGATCAATCCCATTAAGGGTAATCTTAACTCATTTTATTTATAATTGGATCATATATGGAATGATGGAAGCAACCTTATAGATTTTATATAATCCGACTCAATTTAATTTAAATATAGTAAAGTTAGTTTAAATGTTGTCTTTACTAAATTGTCTGAGGTTGAAGTTTCAAATAAATAACTTTCAATTCATTGTGATCATGAAATACTATATGTTTAGTTCATTTTATTAATAATATGATATTTTCAGCGATCTACTTATAATATTCAATATCTAATTGCAATTTGGATTTGATTCATATCCATTATAAACCTTATGGATGTTATCCAATTTGAATTCAAATATAATCCAATCAAATTTGGATCTACATTCAACTGGATCCAATTGTAACCCTATCACTTAATGCCCATTCGGGAGGGCTGAGCCGAACTGCTCAACATTCAGCCAAGCTGATTCAGTTGCTCTGAAGCATTACAAATAAACTATCTAAAGAGGTTCAAACATAACTTACAAGCTAAGCTGTTTGTGTAGGGCCCGACTTGGAAAGCCAAATACATCATCTGGTTCCTGCTTCTGGCCTTTGGAGATTAGCAATTGGGCTTAAGCTTCAACAGAAAATGGGAAATTTAAGCCATGTTTGGTTCAATTATCATTCTTTCTCGTTCTTACCCAAGATGAAATTCTAAAATAGACAAGAATGGGTAAAAATAGGTAAAATGAGAAAATATTGCTATGAACCAAACACTTTTTTCCTAAAAAGAAATTCTTTTCAGATTGACAAGTGTCCTATGTAGAAGTACTTTTGTAAAAGTATTTTCATAAAAATGCTTTTATAAAAGTACTTCCGTATAAGTGTTTTTACAAAAAATGCTTTCACAAAAGTACTTTTATAAAAGTGATTTTGTAAAAGTGCATTTATTAAAGTACTTTTGTGTAAAAATGCTTTTGTAAAAGTACTTCCACAGTGGTTCATTAGTAAACATCTATGACAATAGTTTTGTAGGTAGAGTTTCCTCAAAGAATGAAAATGAGCAAGATAGGGCATGATTATTTTTCATGATGCAGGCTACCTCAATTTTTGTATTACAAGCTAATTTTTTTATTCTAAAAAGAATGTGGTACATGACAAAAATTTTATAACCAAATGCTAATGTTATTCATTCTTGCCCAAAATAAGCAAGAATTAAAAAAATGAGGACCAAAAGAGTGAATCAAAAATGGCATAGAAATGGCTCCACGGCCCACCTAACATGTACACTTTCCAACATACTACTCATCATCAGATCCATTAATGGATGCAGGCAGAAATCTTACATGGAACAATTTTCAAAGAAACAGCTTGTGTAGTCAGATAAGACGACCTACGGGAGAAATTTTATGCGAACCACTTAAGCAGAAATCTTCAACTTGGCGTCATGGTTGAAGTGTTGGTAGCTTTGCCCTTTATCATAAAATGGCCGCCAGCGCCAGTTCAACGCCATGGCCCATGGAGAATTCCTTGTAACGGAGATCAGACCTGTCCGTAGGCCGGGCCAGGCTTTGTTTATTTATTATTCAAGCCCAAACCCATTTTAGATAAGGTTTATTTGAGAAAGTCCGAGCTTAAATCCATACACCTAAAACCTTGTCTAGATTGATAAAAAAATGAATTAGGCTATCGGGCCCATGAAACCACTTTTTACATCAATGCCCCTAATAGTTTTAAAGAATATATATATATATATATTGGATTATGTTCACAACACCACCCATTTAATTTCCCTTTTTTGAAGGCAAATTTGATACAAACACTGTCAGAGAAGGCTTCAATGGTATCAAACATGCCCTTTTTGGTTATGGCACGAGTTTCAGCCCAAAATCTCTGGCTCCATGATCAACAGAAATCCTTCTTTATAGGGCTCTAAATGGTATCCGATTATCCAAATTTGAATTCAGATTCAAAGGGTGATCTGAATTCAATTCATTTATAATTGGATCAAATATGGATCCAGCCCTATTCAATCAAATAAAATCCAATTCGATTCAATTAAAACATATATGCTTATATATCCTTAAAGCTTCTATTATAACTAATAAAGTTGGTTTGGATGTTGTATTTTCATTAAATTGTCATAGGTTGGAGTTTCATACAAGTAATTTTTAATTTATTGTATCATAAAATATAATATTAAAATCATTTTAGTATATTTTATAAATAAAATATAATACTTTGATTATCTTTAGTCTAATTAATTCATTTATACAATTTAATATCCGAATTCAATTCAAATCCAGTAAATATCCAATAAACACGACTAAATTTGAATTTGAATATAAATAAATCAAATTTAGTCCTACTTATTTGTAGATATTAATTTATAGAAAAAAGAGGTAAAAGCCATCGACAGCTAATATCTATCATTTAATGAAAGCTGAAATTAAAAAAAAAAAGAGGGTATAGCGTTGTCAATGGCTGGAGAATGAAAGAACGAAATCAAATATACTTGTGGAATAAAGGGTATAGGGGTTATTGGTAATATTGACCAAATAATCGCCGATTGGCCAATCCAGAAGCATCCTATTTGATACATGGACTGGATCTGCAACTTGATGGGCTTGACAAAAGATAGAAGGCAGAAATAAGATTGCAAATTGAGCATTGAGCTAGGCCCGCTTTGATTTGTTTTGTTCAGCTTGGCTCAAGCCCATGATGGATCAAGTGCATTTTATATATTTAGAGCCCATTTGGGACTCGGGAGAGATTTCGACAAATGCAACCTAAATGGTATCTTATTTTAGTGGAATTCAGTTGGCTCGGATCATCTGGGAGCATAGGACCGCTGATTACAGTCTAATTCTAACTTCCCATTTATCTGATATTCATTTATGTTGAGTTGCACCACCTAATAAAAGCCTATATATACCAAAATCTAGCTTGATCAGATAGGCGAAATTCATTCATAAAATGCTCGATCAAATTACAATGAGTAGGAAAAGTGAAAATACAACTGGAGAAATAGGCTGATGAACTTGTTGAGCAAAATGAAGCAATCATGAGTAAGTATCTTAAGAGAATGGCTTGAGAAACCACTACAAATAGCAAAAAATATTGTTGATACGCCAAAAAAGAGAGAGACAATTGGTCTCTGACAGAAACCATTTCAGCAAATGTGGCTTTGAAAATAATGAAATTAGAAATGCTTCGGGGTTTTGTAGAAAATAAATTGAAATTCAAAAAGATTAGAAACCACTTTAGATAGTTGCCAGAATATTTGTAGAATGCTCATTTGAAGTGATTATTATATTGCGCCTACTAATGCGGTCCGCTAATGAAACATCTCATCCACGTATGGTGACCAGATCATCTAGTATGTATTTGGTTCTATTTACCTGAGAAAGATACTAATCACAGCTATTTATGACAATTAGGTGTCATTAGGCATCACATCAGCATAACAGTAAAAAAAATGTTTAACCATTATCATTTGAGGAAACTTTAAAAAATCACCTTTTGATATTCTCAAATATGCATAGAAGAACATGAGAGGAAAACTGCTGAAGTGACACATATATAACAGAGTTTATTGAATAAACACCCACATTTCAAAACACCCTCCTAGTCTCTCTATCAGACATGACAGCTTGGCAGAGAGAGCATTAGGGTGAGAAGAACAAATGGCAGCCACAGAAACACCACGTAGCAATGTTGTGGCTGTGTGGCTTTAAAGAAAAGGGAAAAAACTAGAATGGGGCCTAGAAAAGAACCATGTACATCAGATGTGTTCGAGGCATCGTGAAACAAGTGTCCAATATCTCAGACACGTTTTGTGAGCCAGTCAACGTAGTCAGCTCATCTAAAGGTATGCATTTACTCATTTACCTACGGATAAATCCGTGATGGGAGAAAGATATGGTATGAAAAGAATTTTGACCAATCAAAACCCATCCATTAATAAAACCCCTTATGCTACCAAGTTTATGATTCCACTTTGACACCACCCCTGTATATTATATATATACTTTTAATTTTTTTTAACCAAAATGGAAATATCTCTTTCCTCAATCCTCATAGGAGATACCAGAAATAAGATAGAAAAGATAAAAACTAAACAAGCACAACCCCTTGAAACGAAGAAAAAGAAACAGAAGAGAAGACTAGTTACAGAGCTCACGAGCAATTCCCAACCGAGAATTGGGGATATCGAACAGGATTCTAAGGTTCTGTTGCTGCAGGTTTGCTATGACGTTCAACACTGAGTTCACATTGCTGGGTGCTGCTGCCATGGCCAGACACGCCAGCGACCCGACGCTGCTGTGTATTAATGTGTTCTCCGTCGGCAGTGTCAAGTCCATCTCCGTGAAATGGAACGTCACGGCCGGCGTTTGAGCTACGTATGTCGTCGTAAAACAAGTATCGAAAGCTCCCAACGAGGATATGGGCGCGTTTATTTGTTTACGGAACTCATCCCGAACTGCTGTATAGACGGGCTGAACGAACCGAGTTATGACCGTACCCGAGTCGATTACGGTTCCAGCCCCGGTGTTTGGATCGAACGCTAGTAGTTCCGGTGCCACCGGGACCAGAACCCTACCCACGCTGATACCGGTGAGGTTGACATAGTATAGAGACGGCCTGTGCGGGTTACGTAGGAGAGGCGTGGTCCTGATGCTCCTGGGCTGACCCACTGGTCCGAGTTTCAACGAACCGGTGAAATAGTAAGACTTGAAACTCGGTAAACAGTAGGAGAAGACGCCCGAGTACAGTGAGCCGGCTTGCGAGAGCAAAGACATTGACCCACGCCCCAGGCCAAGTAACCCTTGAGGTGGGACTGACCCGCCGGAGACGGCGTTGATGCATCCGAATGCGTAATTGGGCAAAACGTCGAGCGCTAACCTAACCGAGTCTTGCGAGAGAGTAGCCGAGAAGGAGGAGTCCCCGCCGTAGGACTGGTTAAAGAGGCATGGGCTGGCAACGGCGGTCGGACAAGAGAGGCCTCGGACCTGAGCACATTGCGGCAGCTTGCAGTCCATGGATCCATACGTGGAAGATGTGTTGGGAGTGAAGACGGTGGAGGAGGAGCAGCCGGTGCAGCCGGAACATGGGACCCATGCGGCATCATTGCTGGTGTCCATGACCATGAACATGAGCTGACCCGGGGTGCCGATCTTGGCTCGGACGACGTAGTTTCCAATGTTGAACATTTGCTGGCCCGAAGCAACGGGAACCGATGTCGCCCTCTGCGCCACCAGACTGGACAGGTAGGCGACGCGCTCCGGGTCCTTGGAAGCCATGTTGATGACCGTGTCGATCCATGACTCGCGCTTGGGTGAGGAGAAAGGCGAGCACTTGCCGTAGATGTGGAAAACAGAAAGCTCCGAGTCGGCCGACGGGGAAGAGGAAGAAGAACAGGTGTCGAAAGCGGCGTTGACTGTTGTTAAGACGAAGAGGGAGAAGAAGACGAACGCGGTAGAAATGGATAATGCCATGACTCGGAGGTGTGACTGGGCCACAGCCCACGGCCCGAGTTTGAAGTTTAGAGTATTGGATTGGGATCTCAACTCTCTAAGGGAGAGAGGCCCATGCAAAGGTTATTATATAAGCCTAGTAAGGGCGAATTTACGAAAAGCGCCCTCAATTAATTTTACCCGCAAGTTAACGAGTTCTCCCTGTTTTCCTTGAAATAATCGATTTCAGTCCGTAACAGTGAGTCTGGGGTCCAGCAAGAACGTGGCACGTGGTTAATGCACTTGATATTGATCGGGAAATGGCCACCGTGTCTCGCGATATATAATAAATAAATCTCAACTTGCGATGGGGATAAAGCAACATGGTACAAACACATGAGATGTTCTCAATACACGCTAGGGCGCGTTCTGTGGGGCGCATATGTGAATTTTACGGTACAAATATACAATATAGCCTTGCATTGAGAATAATGCTAGGCTGTTTGCATGAGAACATCTCCCGTGCTATTTATTACTCAGGGATATTCCCAATACAGGGTAGGATGTGACTATTTATTATCTCAATACAGGGGTAGGATGTGACTGTGAGGTCGGTGTGAAGAGCACTCCAGCAGATCCCAATTCGATAGTTCCAAGTTTTGTCTGAGCAGAAAATGTCTCGTTCACTGTAAGTGTAAGATTCCTAAATCAAACATCCACATAACATACTACACCCGTGCTTTTGCAGAAAACAACGAAAACGCCAGTTTGTGGATCGGAACTCGGAAGTATCTGATTCGGTTAGCGTGAGAAAATGACATGGGTAAGTTGTTGATGGTCATTTGACTTTGATGAATGTTTCGGGAATCAGGATGGAGGAAAAGCAGAGGGAATCAGTAATCACCAAAACCAAACACAGAATAACCCCAAACCAAGCCTTGAAAGGCGAGGACTTTCAGTTTCAGCTTCGGGTCCAACTCCAATTCCATTTTCCAAGTACAAAGTACGAAGTACAAAGCAATCTGAATCAAAATCAAGTTCTTAGATAAGGAAATGCTACGTTTGGAAAACAAATGAAGGCATTTCTGACAAGGATGAATGACCATTGGCCATCGCGGCATCGCCAATGTATTATTGTCTCGTGAACCATCATCTGAGTGTGTGACGCGTTGTCATTCGTTGGCTCTTTTGTCCCTTTATATTACAACTAAGAACAGGAAATAATGTGGTCTGTCACGGGCTCATAATAAGACTTCACATGCTTGGATCCCACAATGGAACACAAGTCTGCAGATTCCTACTTCCTATTCCATCATTTATTCAATACCCAGATCAAATTATAAGAAACATTTGGACTTACACTCTCAATAATTGAATCAAAAAAGAAAAAGAAAAAAGAAGTTGATAATTGGTTCTCCTTTAGCTGATTCAGCTCTAGCTTGTACATTATACAAGCAGTAGTACATTGTGTTGATTAGGCAATTAGCATTAGTGAAACAATAACTAAGGAGGGCCAACATGTCGGGATCAGCAAGCCTGTAGCCACTAGGGCAGGCCCTTTGACAGCAACTCTCACTTCCACAAGTCAAGCTCAGTTTCATTTTGAGAAGTAAATTCATGGTCGAAGAAATCAATAACATAAATTGCCAATCTGAGAACATTGGCGAAAGTTCCTCGGGCTCAGTTTGGAAAGAGTACAAATGCAAATTTGTAGAGTGCAAAAGCTTATCTTTTATATTATTTTGTATGTATTTGTACTCTTTCCAAACTAAGCCTCAGTGAATGCTGTAAGTTTATTGCATACAAGTGGCTGCTATAAACATTGGCGATGATCCCCATCTATAGGATGTGACAACATTATTCTTCAATATTGAGCTAGAGACCGAGTTCAATTATTTTCACCATGGCCTTTCAAAAAAAAAACAACTATTTTCTCCATGGATATTGGTTAGGCAATATGGTTCAGAAAATTAGATTTAAACATTCAAAAGAAAAATTGTAAACAATGAGCCAATCCATAATAAATATTGAATATTAGTTGTTTCACAAGCTTACAGGCACACAGGACACCAAAAAGAACAACTGGGAGCTTTAATAACTCCACCTTTTTTTCCGTTTTTTACATCTACTATAGAGAGCCAAACTCCCACAATCTTTCAGATTTCATAAGAATAGGAGAAATTTACAAATACAACAGTTGCTATGCCACAATGGAACAAACGGGAAAGATGTTACAACCTGGTAGTGACATAATAACCACAAGCAAGAAATAGCAAGATGGGAAAGATCACACTGATACAGCTGACGAAAAAGCATAATCAAGCACGCTGGCAATAAACCGGAAAATAATGGAAACTGTAGTTGTTCAAACTTCCCAAGAAAAAAGTATTCTGTGATGGTAAAAATGCACTATGGTCAATCAAGTATACAGGTGAAAAAAGGTAATGGGAATGAAGACCCTTAAATAAGATAGCATGACAACAATCAAAATGTAATGACTAATGACATAACCCCGGTTCCAGATTATTTCCAGTTATTGCCATCATCTCAAAGACAGTACAAAAATAATGTGTACAGTTGGAAACAATGAAGTAAGATCAACAAACAAATTATATAAAAACAAATAAGTGCCTGCATAATGCCAAAAATAAATGGCTTAGGAAAAATTCATTTGAGTAGTAGTTAGAAATTCCAATATTTGGAAATATTCTCTAAAAATTGCTTTCAAGATCATTAGATCCATGGGAACTAGACTAGATTTCATGAAACAAAATTATGACAAGATATAACTACAATAACAGTAATCATTATAAGGTAATGTTGACCAGATCCAGGAGGATGGCCAGATCCTATGATAACCCAGATACATGTACAAGGGTGCTGTATCATGTCAGACACTTCAGTTTTGGGTGTAAATTGCATATCAGACACCTTTTGTAGTTGTGTCCCTACCATCTCTGGGTAACACAGGCTACACCCCTCCAATTGCATTCAACCATGTGCAATAGAGAGTAAGACTAACTCATATCCCACTAGTTTGTGGATAATTAAGAAAAAGAAAATCCTTCTTTCTATGCACCCTGTTCTCTCCAATCCAACAAGCTTCAGATATACCTTACAATTAAATATTTTAAATTTCAAAAATAAGGAAAGTAGGCATTGGTATATGAGATAGTAAGCAAAAGCAAACATGCATGGATGGGGAAGGGGGGGGGGAGAGAGAGAGAGAGAAAGAGAGGTTGTACCAACAAAAAAAGAAAGAAAGAAAATGAGATTGGCCTTTGGAGAGGTAAGAATATTAGTGGCAACTGGACTTGGGCAGCCAATTCATCTGAACTAGCCTAGATTTAGTAGTAGACTGGGCCTAGGTTTTTATACAATGGACCAGCTTGAGTGCGGCCAAGTCCAGGTTGGGCTGGAACATACATATCAAGGTTCAGTTGTATATATTAGTCTTTCATATATTAATATTTGTCAATGTTTTGTATGAATTTAATTTAAGCAATGCTTTCATGGTGTCCTGCCACCCAATATATACGACCTAGGTTAGACTCCTTGAATGCACTATCTGATTAATATCAAATGCACAAGGCATGGAACAAGATTTATCAAAGCAACTGCAGTATTGTAACACTAACACCTTGTGTTGTTAAAGTAACATAAACTAGAATGGATATTGCAGAATCCACACAACTGCTAGCAAAAGAGACCAGGAAGAAACATACCTAAGGCACTTCATCATGAATCACCCTTTACTACAATCACTGGACATTGTACATGGTTGGTGCAATAGTTGCTTACACTACCCAAAAACATCCTGTTATCATATACACATTTTTTAGGATAGCAATAAATAGAAATAATTGTGCAGGAATAAAGGTTGCAAAATAAGTGTTTATAAGAGATAAAATGAATAGAAGTTGGTTCATGCAATGGCATATATGTTAATAAGAATATAAGCAAGCATTTAATTAAAAAAGGAAAGAAGTCAATACATGACTCTAGAAAACCAAACTATCTAACATGCCAAAGACTGCAAAGAAACAACTAAGATTTCCGCTAATATTAAAAAGTAAAACCTCTGGTTTACCATCCAACAGAATCCCAAGACGTACATCTGAAAGAAAACACAACTAAGGAATGATCTTTCATACATTATAAAAACTACATGAAGAGAATTCAACCTTTTCTTTTTTGAAAATGTGTACTGTTCTCACTCTTCCTATCAGTTGCATGTGCAAATATAATATATTCAAATCAAGAAATAGACAATTCCTCTTGTCAACCTCTTAAATATATAGGTCACTACCTAAAGATGGCTATGAGATAAGGATGCCACTTTCCACATATGGGAGAAAATTGTTCCTGGAGCATTTTTTTTCATCAGCTTGTTCCTGGAGCAGTTTAAGTTCAAACAAAGCCAAGTGAGAGAATCATGCTAAGATATTGTGTACATGTATTTTCCCAACATGCTTACATAAATAAGCATATTTTTCATCATCTAAGCCTTGTCTCAACCATATGGGATCAGCCACATGAATCCTGTTTTACTATTCTGTTCTGTTTAGTTCCACATCCATTGTTAAATTATGAGCATATTATACATGTACAATACACAAATTTACCAATTTTGCTAACCCGTGTTGTCTTGAACTAGACGATCACCCAACATGAATAACTCTTTTGCTTAAAGGAGTCAACCAGAAATTGCTTGAATGTGCTTTCTTGGTAAGGCCCAGGGAACTCCCAGATGTTTTAAAAGAATATCAGTTTAAAAGTCAGACTAAACAAACTAGAATTTTGGGTGTCATCTTGAAGACCAAAGCTCTTTGAATACAATATCTACTTTAAACCCCTCAATCCAAGAAATAATCTCTCCATGAAATTTATTGTATGTTCTTTTTTTAAATAAATAAGATCATCTAGTGAATTTTTATCTTCTCCCTAACAATTCTCTATCAAGTATCAACTGCTTAAGAAAAACATTAACTGAATACATGCTCTTCCATTCCTCCTCCTTGAATCAACTAGCTCATTTGCTATGAGAACTGCATCATGAATATGCTTGTTGTGAACAAAAGCTCCTTTATTTGGATATCAAGGAATGTATCACCTTTCTTAACCGAGTGGCTAGAATCTTGGCCAAGATTTGTACATATTTCTTACCAAATTTATTGGTCTAAAATCCTTCAAACCAGAGATTCCTTTCTTCTTTGGAACTAAGGAAATAAGCGTTGCATTCAAGCTTCTTTCCAAGGCTGCAGAATCATGAAATTCCTCAAGAGCTTTTAAAATATCAATCTTAAGAAGCTCCCAAAGCTTCTTGAAGAATAATAAAGTGAAACCATCGGGGCCTGGAGCCTTTTCCCCTTCCAATTCATCTAAATCCTTCTTTACCTCGTCTTCTGAAAAGGGCTACTCCATTTCTAGCAAAACTATCAGCTATCAAATCAATGGACCTCAGGTTGAGGATTCATCTAAATAAAATTTTCAATCAGGATGCTAAATATTCCACCTCCTTGATATGGTCCCTAAAGTTCTAGAATCATCAAAACCATCTCTCATCTAGACCAATGGATCACCTGAAAGTCAACCCCCCTCCCCCCTCAAAGCATTCAAGTCCCAACAGATATACAAGTTTGAGCTTCTAAAACAGTGCTAGTGAGTTAGCTCCAATGTAGTCATCAAATATAACAGGCTATGCCCCTGCCCTTTAATCTCTGTAGACTCCAAGAACTCTAGAAAGACAATAATTCACTACAAGTAACCATCAAAGTAATGCTTGACAGCAGTCTAATGGAGGGGAGAACAATTGCATGGCTACCTGAGTATTCACCAGTGAACCATTGAACTCGAAATTTGCAACCTCTGGTGTCAGAGCCCACAAACATGCATTTGAATTCCCTCATATTCCAATGAGCCACTCTCATAGTGATACCTATCACGCTATATGGTATGTTAGAGAAGAGCCTAGAGTACTCTCTTCCTAAATACCCACACAATAGATGGTAATGTAAATCCCCACAAGATTGACATTTATTACCTTTTCTTTTCCTGTCTTCACGGCACCTTTTACATTTTCTATAGTTTCATATTCTTTCTATTTGATAGAACTTGAAATAAACCCTTTTCATTAACAATACTTCAAATCTCCTAATTCCGCTACCAAGTTTCCTTGCACAATGGCTTGAAAGTTGAAATAAACCCTTTTCATATTCTTACCATTTGCTAGAAGCCTAAAACTTGAAAGAAACCCTTTTCATTAACAACATTTCGAATCTCCTTTTTCCACTACCAAGTTTCCTTGCACGATGTCTTTACCCTTTTCATTTTCTCTTTTATTTTTCCTCCTTTTTGGTTTGTTTTTCCGAAGGTTTCCAAAAAAATTAGTAGTTCTCTTTATACTTTTCAGTTATATTATGCCACGTGGCATAATTCTTTCCTCTAAATTATAATTCTTTTTTCAGCCAGTTCCATAAACTTCACCATTACTTTTCCCCTCCCTTAAAATTTCACAACTTGACTATGGTAAATCTACTAGTTTCACTTCATTCTGCCCATCTCTTGATGCAAACACCCATGACATACAGGCCTTTTTTGTGTGTACAAACTCTACAAAGGATAAGCTCGCAACCCTTGCACATATTGACTGGTTTACCCTCATAAGGAAAACATCCCCACTTGACAAACACTCTTTCCACTTTAGAAGACACTAGATATTCATCTTTATGTATGAAGCACTGTATTTTTATAGAGCAAGATCATTCACCTGTGCCAACTCAAGGATCATATCCAATTTTACATATCCAAATTCATATCCTCCATGCATCCTTTCTAATCCTTTGCTATCCTCACCACTGTATTTTTCTAGTCCTTTGCCATTCTGAGTGTGAAAACAAAATATGATAATTCATTCAACTCATCCAAATTATGGAAAAAGTTGATTCCAATATCTCTCTGCACAATGACCCATTAATTACACATTTACTTCTTCCTGAAAAAGTATTTTGATGATTAAAAATTGACAAGGTAAGAAAATTAAGACAATTAAGCCACTAGCCAATGAAGAGGAGACTGCACTCAGAAAAACAACAAAAAATGGGATACTGTATGTTCAAAACTCAAGATGGAAAATTTTGAACCCATTAAAATGCTCCCCCCCCCAAACTAAGAAAAAGAGTAAAGTTAAAGCAATAGTCATGCTCAAGTGAATAACTAACATTATAAAGAAAAAGATAATTAAAAAAAGAAAGAAAGAAAATTTAGGAAAATTAGTTGTGATACTATGAATTTGAAAGACGGCTACACCCTTGTCTGCATAGGACAGAAATGTCGTGTTAGATATAGGAAAGTGGTCATGATAATTGGATTACAGGAACCAGATGATCGCTCGTGCAGAAAAACAAAAATAACATGAGACTCGGTAGAATTAAAGAGCATGGACATCACAATCTTGATCAACTTCACCTGCAGGCAAATTCAACCTAGGCAATCTGATCAATAAAGCGTCCCAAATGTTAAGCAGATGTGCGACAACGCAAAGTATTCACAGACAAGTTGGTAACAATGTGATATCAAAACTTGTAGGAATGACAAAAATGAATATTCAAATTACCTTTTGATAGGACCATAAGCGTGGGATCCCATCACAAGAAGATCGGCTTTCAAGTTTTCTGTGAAATCGCAAATCATCTCTTTTGGATCGCCAACAACTACTTGCGTTTTGACAATAGCCTAACAAATTGACCAAATAACCTACCAATATCTCAATGCTCTTTTTTTTTATTTTCAAAAAAAAATCGAATTTGCGATGGGAAGTACTGAAACAATGAACCATTAAGTAAACGCTCACATGCTTTTCAGAGCAAATCTTCAACGCGTGATTCAAGATCGCATTAGTGATGCGCCTCTGGTGCGCCTCAATCGCCGCGGTAAACGCAGGCACCTCCAAGTCAGCTTGTTTGAAATTCAAAATTCAGGTCAGGGAATTGAAAGAGTAACAACAAAGTGGAAGGTAAAACTGAATAGGAGTTACTTACAAGGACCACCAAACGGGATAGAACCGGGGTTAAGACCGACGGCGATGGATGGCGGAGATTGGACGTGGAGGATGACGAAAGTACCGGCTTCGGAGCCTTCTCCCTGGGTTCGGAGCGTCAGATTATCGAGCGCCCATTTCAAGGCGTTCATGCTCTCTTCGCTTCCGTCGACTGCTACAACAACACAGTCTAGCTTCCCAGCCATGGCGATAACAGTGAGTAAGAGAGGGATGTGCGAATCGCAGATCTCGGTCTGTGCAGGCTTTGATGGTTTTGTTGGGTAGTTCAGTAGTTGGACTGGCTCCTTCGAGTTCAAATCAGCTCCTACAAGTAGGCGACCCACTGCGTCCCACACCACATCCCAGACGTGTGTTCGGAACATCTCCCAATGATAGTACATGAAATGATGAGCCATCATCGGGAGATGTCTTTTATACACGGCGCGCGAATTGGAGTTCGGGAATATCTTCGTATTTTTATGTTTTATTTCATGGCGACATATTCTCAATCTAAGGTTACAAGAGACGTTGAAACGGTGTCAGCACGGACTTGCACTGACTGAAGCCGATTTCCGCGAATCGTTAAATGGGTTTTCTTTTTGAGCCGTGTGGGTGTGGATAACTTTTTTTTTGTTTTCTTTTGGCAGTGTCACTGTGCCAGTGTCGCAGACTTCTTCCAAGGCCAGAACTGTTAGATTGGGATTTCTTTCGGTTGATAGATCGGCCACATCGAAATTCGTAGAACTTCTGCATCAAATCAATTAAAAATTCCAATCAAACCGTCAGAGCTCCGCTGATTTTTTTATTCTTGGGCCGGGTTCACCAAAATTCAACCCGAACCCACCCAGCCCAAAAAAACGGGTTGGGTTGGGTTGGGTTGAAGATCGAGATAGGGTTAGGGTTAAAAATATGAACCCGATTTAACATTATATATGTATATGTATAAATGTTAAAAAAATATTATTTATCTATCGATCAATCCCTCTATCCCATTGCAGTTTTCCTCTCACCCTGTGTTGAGCGAGGTTTCATCTTGCCTTTGCCTTTTGTGCAAGTTTTCCAACCTTTTTCCTCGGTTCTCTTTTTTCTCTACTCTCGTTTTTCTTTTCTTCTGTTTTCCCACCAGTGCTGAAAATGGTGCATCGGGATCTCTATGATTGATGATGGTGTGTAGAGTGGCTTTCCACTATGTTACATAATGGCCACGATAAGGTTCTTTCAAGGAAAATTCTTTAGGTTCTATGGCCTGTTAGCATTGTTTAGTTTTTGTAACAAAGACGGAAGACGGGAAGAGTGGTTGTCATGACTTTTGTGATGAAGAAGATGGTACTTTTCCGTGATTCCGTCAACGTCTGACTCTTCGATGCATGTCTTTTATAGGACCGAAGATGAAACCCGGTTTCTATGTCTCATCTCTGGACTGATTATGTTGTAGATATGTGCTACCTTCTCGTGGGACCAATCGACTGCACTTGGGATTTCTAAATTCACAGCGGGTAGAGAGTGGTAAGAAAAGTGCCCAGGAAATCTGGGCTCAATCGAGTGAAGCCATTCCCTTGTTGCACATGATGATTTTTCAGGTGAACCCCTGTATGGCGTCTTTAACCTTTTGTAACTCTTAGCTGTGCCTTTTATTTGAGGGTTTTGCTGTAACGAATAGGGGTGAATAAGAAAAACCGAAAAATTGAATCGAATCAAAACTGGTGGTTAACTAAATCGATCTGTAAATATGTATTTTTATATATTTTATGTATATTATATATTTTATAATTTTTATTTATTTATAAATCAATAAATATGCATTATATATATATATATAGTATATATATATATTATTCATTATTTAAAATATAAATATTTTATATATTTCTAGTTTTTATTATATATTTATATATTTTTTATAATATATATTGTAAATATCAAAAACCGAAAACCAACAGTTAATCGAACCGGTCAGTTGGTTAACCAATCGACTTTTGTTTGATTTCAGTTACTAGTTTTCCAAAAAACGATAGTACTGGTTCGATTTAAAAATAGGCCCATAGTTTATCGGTTAACCAAACCGTGAGCACACCTAACAGTGAAGATCATCTCCAATAATACCGGTGTTATGGATCTATCTATATCTATATAGAGATAAGTTTAGTTGTTGGGAGCCAAGAGCTTATGCTGTTGAGAGTATTTTTGGGCTGAACGGGTGAATCCATTCATGCCCATGCCTATCTTTTGGTCAAAATAAAATATGGGACAATTACTATTTTACCCCTCTCATGGTTACATGGCATTCTCAAGAATGTTCTCAACAGGATAAGGCTATTGGCCCCCAAAAGCTTAAGTTTTTCCATCTACATGTATGTCCTATTTGGCATTTTTAATTCCAACGACTTTCGATCTGCTAGATTTTTCAACATCCATGATCAGCCTGGTGATGTGTTTTGTGAAACAATAAATGGGGGCAAAATTGGTGGCAAATTTTTCGCTATTAATTCTAGGGAAAATTCCCTATCAATACCATGTATTTTGGTTCGAGTGACAATTTGATTCTAGAACTTTAAAAAATGTAACAATCCATTATTCGAACTTTCGAAGCACAACAATCTAGTACCTGTCGTTAACCAGCTGTTAAGTGACATGTAAAAAGACATAAATACCCTTCAAGTATCATTTAATTTTCTTTATCAATCATCCACTAAAATCAAAACCAAATGTCAAATTTTTTATCCTTTTTAATTTTTCCCTCTAAAAGATAATCAACCAAATAGAAAATTAAACAAGATTGAAGCTCAAAATTTAAAGTTAATGGAAACGGAAGAAGAAGCGGATAACTGCAATGACAACAACCACCCAATCAATGTGTCATGTTGCAGAAGGAAACAAAAGCAAAAATGGAGAACTCGAAGGGTTTGAAGGGTTTCAACTTTCAAGTAGACTGTACAAAGTCCGATCATATCTTGCACTGTACAACTTTTTATAAAAATTAATCTTTTCTTATCAGAAGAAACGAAAGGCCATGTGCATGCTGATTTTAAACTATAAAAACTGCGGAGAGAAAAGATAATGGCTTCTTTATTATACAGTTCTCTCCATCATTAGAATTAGAGATGAACTACTCTTCCCTAGTTTTAAGTTTGGAATTCATCCAGTGAAATTATAAAAAAAAAAAAAGTCACCTGATGAAACCCAGTTGAGATGGTTGAATTCATAAAAATATGGTTTTGCATTTTAGAACAGAACAGAGTAATTGAGGGGAGCTGTAAAGAAATTAAGCACAGTTGCTTATTTCTTGCTGCAGCTGAACAGTGCAAAGGAGGAGAGAATATTTGGGGCAGTAGCAAATGTTGCATATGACGTATATGACGTACTGATCGCTTAAACCTTTCGTGAATGGATGGGACTTCACGTGGAGGAATATCTTTAGTACTTATTAATTATTATTCATGGGAAATGTTCTTAATGTACGGTGGATGTACATGTGAGGCGCCCATTTGTGAGGAGTAGATCCCGTCTCCTCCACATGAGGCTGGCAGTCGGTACGCACATTGAAGCTATTGCCCATCAACAATCAGGGTGAGGGAACTAGCTAGGAAGCTTTCTGATATCTTGGCTTCCAGGACTGATGCCCCATGCAGCCATGCTCGCAGAAGTTGCTTTGAGGTAATAGTAATACAAGTGGAGAACTCAGAAGGCAGATTTTTTGGCTCCGGTGACAATTTGGTCCAAGACTGGGCTTTCAAGACTGATGCCCCCAAAGTTTTCTCACAATTTAGTTTTCTACTAGTATTTTTTCTCTCTCTCGATGACAGAGAGCTTGAGCTCTGTTTCACTTTTTGAGGAAGAAGATGATGAACAGTATGCTTTATTTTTAAGGGTAATTTTAATATTTTTTAAAGTTTTATATCATACATGAGATAACATAACTGACGATCCATTAATGGCAAGTACTAGGTTGTCAAGTTTCAAAAATTCAGATCATGGTTTTCAAAACCAGACTGTACTGGAAAAACTAGGAACCGGTCGCCTGATCAGTTCCTTTTTTCTCCAAAACCGTTGATTTTGGTCAGCAAACCACTGAATCGGCCGATTAACTGTTTGAACCGTTTTGACCGTTTTTCAATTTTTTATTTTTTTATTTTTTTTATTAGAACGGGCCAATCGTTCGAACCGATAACCGGACCCCTAAGCGATTCGATCACCGAATCGATTTTAAAAACCATGGTTCAGATATTAAATTATCGCACTTTAAAGTTTGGGGAAACAAATTTTTATTCGAGCCAAAATACTAATCAGGAATTTTTCCTTAATTTTAACGGTCTGGATGTGGATTTAGCTTTTTGTATCCACTAACAATACGGAAGCAAGCATTATTATTTCAACACTTTGAACTTTTCGACCTCATGGGACGGGATTAATTTGGTAGTTGTGGTTCGCTTCACTCTTTTTTGGAAGGTTTCGTTTTATGGGATGCCTTGTCATCGTTTGTGGATGAGATTATTATTGGAAAATTTTCCTTTGTTGATTGTTGGCTGCTAATTCCAATTTTAGAGGGGAGGGATAATGTCTTCTCCTTTCACCCCAGATGTGACATTTGGGATTTTTGATTGCCTTGGGATGGGGTTCGCCTTGGCACTCAATTTGCTCTCTAACCCAATGTTTGTTAGGGGAACCTCTTGAAGTGTTTTGTCTTTATTGAAGGTCTAATACTCCTTTGTTGGCATTTCATGAGTTTGTGTCATATTGCAAAGGTCTCACAGGTTCTCGGGACTTCTTGTTTGGTCTTCATACGTTAATTTTTCCTTATCACTTATAGCTTATAGAAATATTTTTACTTATAGCTTAAAATCTCTCTCTCTCACTCAGTGGGTAATTATACCTAATAATGGGTTAGGTGGGTCAGGTTCGAATTGGGCCAAGACATTTAGGGTTGATTTCAGGTTGGTTCGAATTTCAAATTGGGTTGGCAAATGTTATATCATAACCCTAAATTTTTGGTTAGGATTGACCCATGGGTCAATTCAAGTTATCCTTAAAAAGTAATTATAATTTTAAAAAATAAAAAATACATGAAAAATACCAAAATTAAAGGATTTAACCTTAAATTTCCAAACATAAAATAAAAAATTTGAACATTCAACAATTCAAAGAGTAAAAATTAAAGAGTAGAAACTTATAACAATACATAAATAGTCCCAATTAGACCTGTTAATCAGGTTAGCGGGTTGACCCATAACCCAACCCAGTTTTTCTAAGTTGGGTTGGATTGGGTCATTCACACATTTAAGTAGTTAAATATGAGACCCTAACCTTGTTTTTTCATGTTAGGTTGGATCGAATTCACAAGTTAGGTCAACTTTTTGCCAGATTTATGGGCAATTTCCTCCCTCCATGTCATTTTTTCCCTCTTTTTGGCTTTCATATCATTCCCTTCGCTTAGAGTAAAGTTTGGGGCTATATATTC